GCTCGATGAGATGTCGAGTGTCGTCGTGGGTGTCGTTTGAAATCGCGTACATGTCTCTCTCACGATGTTATTCGAACGATTCGTTCTTTCACACTGATCTTCTGCGTACCTATCTAAGTGATATACATTTTTTTTTTACATAAAACGTCGTGTTAATCGTCCTCTGTATTCAACGCGGTGCTTGTGAGTGAATTACTTGATTGGAGCAGTCGAGTAAGAAGATCCTGCAATTGCTTGAGTAATCCGTCTGTGGGACAATTAACGTTCAGTATGTTCATGTCGAATTTATCAGCATTCGTTACCGTTCTGGTGAATTCGTTAAATTTGTAATATTGACGTTTATGTAGGAAATAAAGAGAACCGTCGATATATCGGAAGGCTAGAGTAGGAGATGGCGGTATTCCTGGAAATATCGACTGTAACGTGTGATATCCGTTAACGGTCATATCGCATTCGTTCAGTAACGCTACGCTATCGTCATTAAAGATCACGTACGTTTGTCCTCTATTGGTGACCAATGCTGCGTTAACGTGCATGTTCGTGGGTAACTTTAAGTCGAATGGTCGTTTCGGCCAACCGTCCTTCAATCGTAAACTCGGATAGTCTATCATGTAAATTTGATTATTCGCGAATATTACAATTTCTCCAGATGGTCGTTGATACGCAGCGTTTATGGAAACATTCGCCGGAAGATAATCGTTTAGCGCGATTGGTCCTTTATACCTTTTACCGTTAACGTCTATCATCCACATGGTGTTTCGATAGGTAACGAAAATGCGATGATTCAACCAGTACATTGTCTACGTACTGTAGATCGCACAGATCTCTTTTGTTTGATGTTGTTTTCGTTGTGTTAGTTGTTACAGGTGGTGATCGTGTACTCGGCACTACATTAGGTTTTTTTATTCCGTACAGACGTTGAATAGCTAAACTGTCCTCTAGGCTGAGTTTAACGGTATTATTGGTGACGTAAAGAAACATTATGGAATCTCTATATGTACTGTGCGACATTCCCAATGAATGTCCGATCTCGTGCGTTAACGTGTAAAGCAAATGCACTTTGTTGTCTGGTACATTTTCGTTTAAATATATATGCCAATGTTCCGATCCGTCTATGTGTATCTCTGTGGTTTGCACGAGATCGTTCGTAGGTGCAAACGCGTGTCCGAGTACTCCACCAGGTCCGTCGAACAAACCGGAACAGATCTCATTGCGTCTGCTATCGACGTATGTATGAAATCCTTCGCGGTACGATATTAAAATGTCTGGATTTAACGTTTGACGTTCAAATGTTAGAGATGTGTTCGCTTCCCATACGAAGAAGCCATGCGTGTGCCGTAGTTTTCAATGTATCTGCGTCTGCCAAGTGGAAGTTCCACGTAAGATGCGTTTTTCTCCATTTCGCTACAACACTATTTTGTTCCTGGTGTGACATATCCGGTAACCCGCATCGCGGTTGTCGCATTTGATGTAATGTATTATCGTTCAACGCACCGTTATCTGGTATTTGATAGTATTCTTGGAATAATGCGATAGCCTGTTTAATTTGTTCATCTTCGATCGACGTGTGAGTGGTTACGTCCACCTCGTTCAGGTAACCATATTTCTGTAGATATTCTATCACCTCGACGTTTACTAAATTTTGTATCGTCGGCGTCGACGCGGATATCGTTACGGAAAGGAAAGCGACGAGGAAAGCGAGAGACATCGCGGCGTACGTGTACAGCGGAAACGTACGGTTCGACTATTAATCGCATACTGCGAGTGCGGAGAGAGGAGTGGTATTTTTTGTCCAAAAATAGGCAAATGAAAACGAGGAGATAAGAGTGTCTAAAAATAGATACAGGAAACGAGGAGATAAGAGTGTCAATGAACGTGGTGCATTTTTTTTTTAAATACAGTTTATTTTTGTAAAGCATACAGGAAAAACTTACATTAGCATATGGAATCGTCTAAATTGAGTTGAGAAAAACATAATCACGTGTATCGTTATATAATCTTACAAACGACATTTGTCAATGGATTGTACTCTATCACTCTGTCATGAATAATTAGACAATAGGCCGTGGTGCCCGATGGAATATTTTCCCTACATTCGAATTCGATACGAATGTCCACGGTAGCGCTTTTCACAGATTCGTTTTGACGAGAGCAATCGATCACCACGAGCGGCGCGACTGAAACAAATTGCGCGACGGACAACAAAGCTTCGTATGTTTCGTGGCCGTAGTACGATTTCGCAAATTTTGCATACATGTCGTATAGTATTGCGAATTTATTACGTTCGAAATCCAAATTCATATCATCGTACGGGAAAAAATCAGAGTTCAAAAATAGTTTTTATGTTTACTAGAGCACACGCGTCGAAATGAGTGGTATCCTTAGAGAGTACGTTTCGCTTTCCAGTTTGAAGCGAAAAGATCACGCTGTTTTTCCAAATGTGACGTTGTCTTCACAGCCCACGAATGTTTGGTCGTGCTCTGAAGTAGAGGAAACTCGTACAAATCCCAAGATCGAAATCCCATGCTGAGATACCGTCCGTTTTCCAACGTTCGCAGAAGTGACAATTTGTTGACGTCGTTCAGTACCACGTGTGGCATCTTCCATTGCACTTTCGATAACGTGAGTGTATAGTCGTCTGCGTTGCTCGCGATAACGCAATTGTTGTCGTTACGCGCACGTATCAGGACTAGTTCATGTCGGGCGTTTATCACTATACGTTTGTAATCCTCGCAAAATCCCAGAAGTATGTTAAGCGGTACGCTAAAGTTAAAATCTTCAGTTATCGATCGACTTGTTAATAATGCGTCTAGACCTAATGTAAGCTGCCATCCGGCATTCTCCAACGTTCTGCTTCTGTCAACTGTCAACGAAACGTAATTTTTAACTGTGCTCGTAATACCAACGTTTCTGTTTCTGTCAATTTCCACTCCGTCTAATTCGTAGCGAATCTCGTCGAACATGAATGCGACGCAATTATTCGACAGTCTCGGTGGTTCGTTGGTACTTCCTTCCTTCCTTCGCACAATGAATTTTCCCTCGATGTAGAGCAAACTTTCGCACGGTAACCTGTAGAGATCCTGATGTTGAATCAGTATCCGTATTTCATCGCTGTATCCGAATGTTGTATTAGCGTACGGATTGTAAGTGTGAGTCTCTATTTTAACGATGCGATCGTCGAAGATCGGAGCACCTCCGATCTTCAGGATATCAAGATTCATTTCTCACGACGAATCCGAGATCGTAGAAAGGCGACGTTCGTGGCGTTCAATCGACCTCCTTTTTTTCGTCTTTTCACTGGGACAAACGATATCCGGGAAATCTACAGACGGATCAAGGAAAGGAATTCTACAACGCCACTGTGCAGAAACTTTTGCAGAAGTACGACGTAAATCACTATTCGACGTATTCGGTAATGAAAGCGTCGGTAGTGGAACGATTCAACCGTACTCTCAAAAATAACATGTGGAAAGTATTCACGTTGAACGGCACGTACAAATGGATCGACGAATTGTCGCGTCTACTGTCAGATTTTAATCGCCGTAGACATCGAACCATTGGAATGCGTCCGATGGACGTCACACTTCCCGTTGCAAAACGTCTCTTGTCGACGGTGTACAGTCACGTGAAAATTGCTCCCCCGAAATTCAAGATAGACGATCCAGTACGTGTTAGTAAATTTAAGACCATTTTCGAAAAAGGATACACACCAAATTGGTCGACCGAGATCTTCCATATCGCCAAAGTGCAACGTACGAATCCTGCAACGTATCTGCTGAGAAATTATCGAGGAAAGCCGATAGCCGGTGATTTTTACGAATACGAACTGCAACGAGTGTCCAATCCGGACGTCTATCTTGTGGAGAAAGTATTACGTAAACGAGGCAACGAAGTATACGTGAAATGGTTAGGAATGGACAACTCACATAATTCGTGGATAAATAAAGCTGATATTATGTAAAGGGATGTATTTATTCCACAATAAAACATATTAATACACATTACATGAGTAGTTGTTCGTAATATATCCAATAATAGCATATAACATTCGTTTGATTGAACGCATCTTCCCAAAAGATATAATAATCGTGCAATAAAAAAGCATCTTATTATAAGGTTACTTTATTGTGTATCCAAGATTTGTGGTATTTTATAATGTCCCCAAGGTAGAGTAGCAATTGAATCAGGTAAGACGTATCGTTTGTCATCGTACGGACTGAGAGCAAGTTTTGTTTCGAGAACCGTATACACCTCGTGCAACGACGATTGAATGCGCGATTGACGCCTCGACTGTTCGTACGCGTCATGCAAACATTTCGCATAGTCGTCAAACGCTATCGTTTTCGCGACCACGCTTTTCTTGACACTCTTTATTTTTTTTACATCATTACTATCAACAACTCTCAATGCGTACATCTTCGCTCTGAGACCAATGAATTCAGTCATTACCATACCGTTATTTTCATCTTTCATTAAACCAGGTATTTTATTATTAAGGCGTGGAATATCGTATACATTATCCTCGGAATAATCGCTTGTGTCAAATTTCGTGATATTACACTTCATATCCTCATATACATTGTCACATTTCAAAAAATATATCAAACTGTCCGTGTCCGTGTATAGGATCGTGCACCTATCGTGATCCACCGTGCATAGGATTAAATTTATTTACGTTTACAATCAAATTTAATATGCGCGATAATGCCCATCCGCTGTCACGTTCCTGAAACTCCTCCAGATCAGATAGAATTGCATCCATAACATGCTCATCGTACCACTCCTTCAAATCAGACGCACCATACAGCTCATAATTTTTCGTGGTGATACTTTTGAAGGATCTCTTGTCGTCTGCAACGAATTCTCCATTGAAAGTTGTATTCACCTTTAAACACGCGTGCCTCTGAAGATTCACTCGTGTATGATCAAGAACGGTGTCTCTCGCATCGTTGAGAAATTGTCTCGGTTCAATGTAGCTCGAATTCAGAACTGCACCAGTGAGCACTCGATTATTGAAAGCCGGTTCGATTTCCATCCATGATAATCCCGTCTTCAACGATTCAGCATGACCGGAACCCTCGTGTACAAAACGAGGTCGTAAGGTACTCCTCACATACTCCAATCGCGCTATTTTAGCGATCGACGAATTTATCAAACCAGTAGATATCGGTTGACTCGTGTTACGACATACCTCTCTTAAATAATCAAGATACTCAACGCATTTTATCTCCCATGCTTGATACGCCTCCAGCGTATCGATGCTCGTCGTGCAATACAACTGATCCTCCATTTTTTAAAGTGATTTTTTTCACCTTGAGATACATTCATGAATAACCACTTTCCACGACTGTCTCGTGGTACTTCAATTTGGATTTTGTCAAATACCTCACTAACAATGTTGCATTTACCGTTATCGTTCATTTTACGCGTCCATTTTTGAACAGAAGCCCCGTAAAATTGTGCGCGATAGTTAAAAGCTACTAATGTTTTAAACCACAGAATCTCTCGAAGAGACATTGAAATCCGATCGCTCTCCGTAAATGATGAGTAGCTACATTCCAATTACTCTTCTTTCTTGGTATATATACGTTATCATTAGGCCATAATGGACGCTCCAAACAATAAAGATCTTTATCAAAGTCGATTGACTCACCACTAGAAGGTACGAAAGACGAAGACGATTCGTTGTCAACATCGAATAACTCGCGACGAGAAGATACGCGAGACGAAGACGATTCACTATTCTCACTCGACATAACGCGATTCTTATTTGAAAGGAATCTTGACAACGCGTGTTTATATATCGCTCATCGTTGGAAAAATCAAGAGCAAAAAAATATCTTATCTCGCAATAGCACGCATTTGCGCAAATTTTATCAAAATTGTGAAAATAACCGATTCTGAGCGCGTCACGTGCCACCGGATGTGACCTCTTGTATGTAAGATTAATTTCGTTAGACTCGTCGAAATTTTCAGCAAATAATCACAATGTGTATTGCAACATGTGTTTTCGTGTTTTTTCGATAAAAAAAATTGCATATCACACTATACGGTTTTCGCTGTTTTTTATCGAAAAACAAAAAATATCTTATCACGCAATAGCACTCATTGCGCAAATTTTATCAAAATTCTAAAAATAACTGATTCTGAGCGCGTCACGTGCCACCGGATGTGACCTCTTGTATGCAAGTGTAATGTCCGATGCGCCTACTATACGGCACCGCGTCCGTCACTACACAGCGAACACTAACTTAACTAGTGTGAGTAATACGAACACACAGAGGCTTGTAACACGCGTCTAAACGGCCGAAACCAAATCGAGCGTAACTGCGCCTGCGCCAACTACTTAGGGGTAAAAATGCAACAGGGATGCATTTAGACATAAAAACACCACTGCCAACGAAAAGATATTCATGAAATAATAAGATTAAGTTAGTCAAACCTGAAAATTATCGATAATCTCAGGCAGAATCTAAGAAAAACCGCGTTGCATCTCGGTAATGCACTTCCATGCAGTTTCAAACACACCGGTGGTACGCCAGCGAGCATGGGAACACTTGCATATTCATCTGACAAGTAATGGCTCCGTCAACTCCGAATAAGAAGCCTAAGTAAACATAGCTTCTTTCGCGAACGGTTGATTCTCAGTAATCTCGCGAAGAAGCGGGCTACCGAAAACACGGGAAGAAAAACTCGCCGCATCTTTGT